ACCAAATCCCTTGGAACTGGAGTTATGGATGGTTGTGATCCACCATGTAGGTTCTGGGAACTGAACCCAGGTCCTCTGCAAGAACAAGTGCTCTTAACCAATAAGCCATCTCTCTAGTTCTTTGAATAATAATTCTTGACTTTTTTTTTTTTTTTTTTTGGTTTTTCAAGACAGGGTTTCTCTGTGTAGTTTTGGTGCCTGTCCTGGATCTTGCTCTGTAGACCAGGTCGGCCTTGAACTCACAAAGATCCTCCTGCCTCTGCCTCCCAAGTTCTGGGATTAAAGGTGTGCACCACCACTGCCCGGCAATTCTTGACTTTTAAAGTATTTTGTCCTGTGTATGTGTGTGTTGGTGTACCCAAGTGCATGCATGTTCACATGTGCCTGTTTACATGTACTTGTGGAGACTTGAGGTTGATATTAGGAGTCTTTGTTGATTGGTCTCTGTCTTATCCATTGAGGCAAGTATGAACTCAGTTGAACTCAGAGCTCATCAATAGTAGTGTAGCTAGTCAGCTTGCTCCAGTGAGACCCTGTCTGTACCATCTAATGCTGTAATTACAGGTAAGCCACCATACCACCCAACATTTATGTGCATCCTGGGGATCCAAACTCTAGTCTCCATGCTTTCTTCTTGCAGCATCTAAACAAATGGTTTAACTACAGAGCCATCTCCAACCACCCCTGTAGCTGAAGTTTTCCTGTGTCCCACCTGGTCTGCAGCCACTCAGACCCAAGTAAACACACAGAGGCTTATATTAATTAAAACTGCTCAGCCATTAGCTCAGGCTTACTACTGATTAGCTCTTACACTTAAACTCAGCCCATTTCTGTTAATCTATATGTCACCACATGTTCCGTGGCTTTACCTGTGTGCCATTACATGCTGCTCCCTGGACAGTGGGCTGGCATCTCCTCACTCAGCCTTCCTCTTCCCAGAATTCTCCTTGTCTGCTTATCCTGCCTATACTTCCTGCCTGGCTACTTGCCAATCAGCTTTTTATTAAACCAGTGTACAAAAGCAGTATTCCACAGCACACCCTTTTAATATTTGTTTTTATTTCACGTGTATGAGTGTGCACCATGTGCATGCAGTGCTCATGGAGGCCAGAAGAGGGTGTCAGATCCCCCCTCCCCCCGAAACTGGAGTTACACACAGTTGGAAGCTGACATGTGAGGGCTGAGGCCACCAAGGGGGTGCTCGGAATCAAACCCACATCCTCTTCAAGAGCAGCAAGTGCTTTTAACCCCTGAGCTATCTAGTCCCACCCGTGAGTTTTTGTTTTGGTAACAGAATATTTTTCCTTGCTTGTATGACAATTTAGTACTTGTTAACAATGTATTTTGGTCATACATTTCCAACCCTCCCTTCCTGCTCGCCCAGCATCCCCCAACATGTCCCCTTCCCCACCTCCTGTCCTTTCTCTCTCCCCCCCTGAGTCCACTTAGCACGGCCCATTGGGATGTTTGCTGATCCTGCTGGCTTAATCTTGTGCAGGTCCTATTTCAGTAATCACAGCCAGGTAAGTTCATGAGCACAATGACATGTCATGTCCAGAGACATTTCAGAGCACTTGTCCCCATGCCAAAAAAAGCCAGAGCTTTTTCGTTCTTTTTACCTCTTCTTCCATGATGTTTCTGGAGCCTTGGGGTGGGGGTTGATACAGATACCCCATTTAGGGCCGGGCACTCAGGAGTCACTCAGTCTGAGCACTTCTACCAACCATGAGTCTCTGCATTAACTCCCTTGAATTCCTCTGGTCCCCTGCCTTGGCCTCCCAAGTACTAGAATTGCAAGTGCACCAGCAAGACCAGTCTAACTCTTTTAAAAAGATGTTTGTTTGTTTTGAGACAAGAGTGTTGTTATATAACTCAGACTGGCTTCAAATTCTTGGCAGTTTTCCCACCTCAGAATTCTCCCAGTGCGAGGATTAGAAATGTATTCCTACCATACCCGGTTTTGTCTTTTTTATTTTTATATTTCATTTATTTATTTATCTATTTATTTATGGTTTTTTGAGACAGGGTTTCTCTGTGTAGTTTTGGTGCCTGTCCTGGATCTCGCTCTGTAGACCAGGCTGGCCTCGAACTCACAGAGATCTGCCTGGCTCTGCCTCCCGAGTGCTGGGACTAAAGGCATGCGCCACTACCACCCAGCTATTTCATTTGTTTTTATTTCACATGTAGGAGTGTGCACCATGTGCATGCAGTGCTCATGGAGGCCAGAAGAGGGTGTCAGATTCCCCCTGGGACTGGAGTTAACAGACAGTTGTGAGCCACTCAGTGAGTGCTAAGAATTAAACCCTGGGTCCTCTGCTGAGCCATCTCTCCAGCCTAATTATTTTTATTTTTGAACAAGTAACTCTGCATTTTCTTTTTGCACTAATACCTACACATTATACAGTAGGTTCTGTTTGGTGCTATTGTACCTATCCTGTAGGCCCAGTACATAGAGGACTGCTCTCCCCTCACTTCTGACCCTGACCACGCTTAGCCCAGCAGGTGGAGGATGTTCCTAGACAGCTGGAAGTAGAGAGTTTGCTAGAAGTCTCCAGTAGCTGTTTAAGGACTGTCACCATGCCTCTCTCCCAAGACCAATTGGCTCCTTAAGATCCCGGGCAGATCAGATCCCAGGCAGATAAGATACTTTTGCAGTTCGAGGAACAGGAAGCTTCCGGAGGGAGGCCAGTGGGCATCCCTTTGGGCGCGATCTCTCACTGAGGCTTAAGATAAATCTCCCATTTAAGGCCTCATTTAAGCCCTTCTCCCGCCCCAGCAGCCCGTAGCCCTACCCTCGTGTGACCAGCCCCGCCCCCAGTCGCCTTAAGTACCCTCTTTGCTTCTCCCCCAGTCCCGGAGTCACCGTCCAGCTCCGCGTGCGTCACCACACCAGTGACGGTCCCCAAAGCTTCCGTTCTTGGCTGCCCGGGGCAACCCAAATGACGCTTCAGCACCACTTCCCACCTTCCTTCAGTCCCACCCCGGCCCCACCCGACCCCTTCTGCGACCCCGCCTCCCGCTCCCTTGGTCGTGGCCCAGTCCCGCCCCCTAATTACCCCGCCCTGCACCACGCAGTCCCGCCCACCCCTCTCAAGCCCCGCCCACCCACTCGGCCTTGGGTCTCTCACCAGCTCTCACGTTGTCCTCAGCCAGTGCAGCCCCGCGCCGGGGCCAGCTTAGCACGTTTTCTCTTTGTCAGAAGTCCGCTAGCGGGATCAAGCGCTTCAGCATTGCAGTTCATCCTCCACCTGAGTTTCTAGCACCCGAAACCCTGTGTGTTCACGCCCAGATTGAGCTTTGGGTACCGTGCAGTATCAACTGGCTTCTATAGGGCTTCACCTTTAGGGTTCTCAACTCCCAGGAACAGAAGCCTGGGCTTTCTGGGGCTTGTCTCGCTTCCTACCTGGTACATACAGGTAGAAGAGGCTAGTTTTGACATACTATGCCCCTCGGAAAAACTTACCATTCTCTTCTCTGCTGAGCCGTAAGTATATCAGCAAGGCTACCCACCTGCTTCACAGGGCCCTTGGCATCCTAGAACCTGTTCTGTCCTCCCTGATTGCTGGCAGAGTTGAGGGTAGGGCTAAAGCCAGGCCACCTTCTCTCTTGCCTCCCTCACACTTCCAGTTCCATCCTTATTAGTTCACAGACTCTGACTCCTACGGTTGACCTCCAATGTCAGGGACCAAGGCAGGAAGAGAGATTGTGTGGGCATGAAGCCCAGTGGGATCACCCCACAGAGAGGAGAGGTGGTGGACAGGGCTCCGCATTCTTCTGCTCCTCAGTGCCATACCACACATGTTCAGTAAAATGAACAGTGAGAAAGAGATCAAGGATGTTCACAAAAGTTTTTTTTCTTTTTAATTGAATTGCTCAGTGATGTTCTGGGGGTCTCTGCTGTACCCCCAAGTTGTCATGTATCCCCAATTCAGTCTCTAAAGGGGACCATCTTTCCTCCAAGGGAAACTGGCTCAGGAAAGCTGTCTGTGTATAAAGGAGAGGGCAGAGGAACAGGGAAATTCTGGGAAAGGAAGTAGGGGACCACGGCGCAGGGGATGCTTGATAGAGGACACAAGGAGAAGCGCCTGGATCGAGAGAGAGGTAAGAAGTGAGGTGGAGGAGAGGAGGCGGAGGGAGCAGAGAGGAAGAGCCCAGAGGCCCTTCTCAATATGGCTGCACCCTTGCTTTTTGTTCGTATCCCCAGATTGCTCCCACCCTCCCCTCACCCGTCTCCACACCCTCTCTCCCACTCCCAAGGTTGCTTCCCACATCTCCAAATCTTCTCATATCACCCTTTCTTTTGTACACTCCCTCTTCTCTTCCCAAAGCCCTCATTCTGGATGGGTGTATGTGGGTGTGTGTTTCCATGGTGTATATACACGTTCATGTGGGCGTCTTTGTGGGTGCAACTGAAGGCTAGAGGTTGACGTCACTGAATGTCTTCCTCAATTGCTCTCCCCCTTATTTTGGGCCAGTGTCCAGTGGCCTACTGAACCTGGAGCTTACTGATTTGGCTAGGCAGGCCGGCCAATGAGCTCCGGGGGTCTGTTTGTCTCTCTCCCAACCCCAGCACCAGGATTACAGACACCCACCCTGTGCCCAGCCTTTAAGAGGGTACTAGAAATCTGAGCTCAAGTCCTCAGGCCTGCAGGACAGACACTTCACTGACTGAAACATCTCCCTAGCCCCCCCCTCAAAGCTGTCACTTTTCTGGTGTCATTACCTACACCTGTATGGTGAGGCCTCTGGGGTCACCTGTAGCCAGGTGCAGGCCGCTCCCCTATGTTCCTAAGCGACTGGCTTCTCCCTCTGAGTCTCCGCACACTGAGATGGTTGTTTTTTCTGCCGCCCCCCACCCCACCCGGTGGATTCAGGAGCTTGGGATTCTCTGAGTCTAGCACAACCCAGGTATAGAAGGAGGTACCCCCAAATCCGGGCTCCAAAGATAGTGCTCTGGAGAAGAAAGAGCAAGAGAGAGAGAGAGAATGAGAGAGCAAGAGCGAGAGAATAAACGTGCACCAGAGAAGGTATTGAGGGAGGCAGGCAGGGAGAGTGGGCAGATGGGGCAGAGGATGTGGTAGGAGGGGAAAGGTTAGCGCGTAGGACCAAGAGCTCAGAGTGCTCCTGGTCGTCAGACCACGGTGCTGAGGGTAGAGGAGTCCTCGGAGCGCACGGGCTGCACAGGAGCCCGCTTGAGGGGACGCCGGGTCTCATCGCGGTTCTGCCACACGTAGTGGATCAGATAAGCCACTACCAGTGTCAGCCAGCCTCCCATGGTGACTAGCAGGGCCACATCGGTGTTCCTTCGGGTCCCACCTCGTCCTGTGCCGCACAGCCCTTCCTCCCTCGTCAGCGGAAGGAACTCCTGTCCCACGAGATCTGGTCGGGCTCCTGGACCACACACGATGCCTGTCCCCGAGCCTGGAGCTAACATCACCTGCCTGAGCACTTCCTGCAGGGCACAGTCGCAGCGCCATGGGTTGGCGGACAGGTTCACTTGGATCTGCAGCCCCACGAAGGCTGCCACAGGCACGGAGGCTAGCTGGTTGGCAGAGAGGTCAAGGTGGCGCAGAGTGCCCTCCAGGCCCTGGAAAGCAGCTCCTGAGAGGTGGACAAGGACATTATGAGACAGGTCTAATTCTTCCAGGAAAGGCAAGTGCTGGAAGGCACCAGCTGGCACGGATGCCAGCTGGTTGGCATCCAGGTAAAGCTTTCGGGTGCTGTTGGGGATGCTGTCGGGTATGGCACTCAGGCCAGCTCGGCTGCAGCGGAATGTCTGTTCGCCAGCTTCTTCGGCTCTGTAGCAGCCCTGGGGCAGTGCCTGGGGGGTGGGCACAGAACCCCCTGTGCCTATCACCAGCAGGAGGTGCAGGAGGCCAGGAGCTAGTAGGAGCATGGTCACAGATAAACATAATCCGTGCGTGGAGGAGAATCTGGGCAGTAGAAGGTCCTAGGAAGGAAGAGCAACGTTAGAATACTATGTTCCACTGAGGCTCTCTCTGCTGGAGTTCCTTGGTGAAGACTCTTTGGGCCAGAACCTCTCCTTTGGGGGCTTTCTCAGCCCTAGGTCTGTCTGTCTATCTGTCTTCAACAGGATTCTAGGGGAAAGAATCCCTTAAGGCTTGAAACTTTTAGGTTCTATTGATTCTGGAAGGTTCATCTATGAGGTCCCCCTGTCCCTTTGCCCTGTTGAAATGGGCCTGGGAGGTTCCAAACTATTGCTTCAGCTTTTATACTAATTTTGCTTCTCGAAATAAACATTTTTTTTTTTTTTTTTTTGTCCTCCACGTACCTGTGTGACTGCCAGGGAGGCCAGGTAAACACCAGGGGGTCTGGTTGGCACTAATGTAAAGACAAGAGTGACAGATTAGTGACAGGATTCCAGGTGTTCAGCTAGACTATTCAAGTAGGTAACAGGGACTTCTGGCTCCACCTTCTGTGCTCAACAGCCCCATTTTCTGGAAGCGTCTGCCCCTCTGCCTTCCCCAGCTCTGTGCTCTCAGCCCTGCTCATCTTCCTCCTCTTCCGTCTCCCTCCTGCCTGGCGGAGTCCTCTCCTGTGCAGTTACCTTTCTCCCCGGAAGTAGTCTCCCTGACAGTGGGCTCTGGAGACCCGCTTCCTCCTTCAGAAGTCCTGTTTGCTTGCAGCAGCTGGGAGCTGCGACCTGGGGCCCAAGTGTATAGAGTTTCCTGGCATGTGACTCTAGGCCCCAGGTGTCAGATACCTGAGCCATGGCCTGGCCAGGCAATGCCAAGAGAGAGCAGATCCCAGACCCTGATGATATGTGTGGGAGAATAGGCCTGGATTCCATTCCTTGCCCCAGGCTTTCCTCCCACAACTCAGTGGTTGCTGTCTTCTATCTGCTGCTGAAAACTGCCTTCCGGAATCTCCTTTTCTTGTCCAGAGTCTAGCTGGCCAAAGGATGGCTGCTTGTTTGCCCAGGGGGCAGAACCCTGCAATTCCATCTCAGCAACTTGCAACACAAGCCTTCCTGCGCTGTTCCGTGTTCTCTGCAGGCCCCATGGTGCCCTGTGTTAGCAAACGTCCCTCGGTGTTTTCCTCAGAAACATCTTCAGAGGATGCGCCTGGATCTTCACGGGACCAACCCTTTTGACTACCAGGGGGCGCTGTGGTTCATTTTCTTTTTGCTGTGTAGATGGTGTTAGGCTAGGCTCTTGAAGCCTGATAGGGTGGCTTATGAGTTTTCCTGCCAACTTTTCTGTTCCGTGATGTTCTTGGGCTCCAAGGATGGCATTTTTGAGTCCCTCTTCATGCCTGTGACCCAAAGATGGCTGAGATGACTTATTTTTTCCTCCAAGGCCTCTTCATCCTAAGGAGTGTTTGCAGACCCCACCACTTCACACCATCCCCTCTCCTGATGTCCGCTGGGTAGTGGGAAGGAAGGATTTGAGGCTGCAGTGTTCTGTGTGTGTCCCTGAGCCCTTGTGTCTGAACAAAGTAGAGCATAGAGAGGCCCCACGAGGTGGAGTGGACAGGAGAGAGCTTGTGGCGGTGACATGCAAATGCTGCTGTTTTCATGACCGTCTTTCAGAACAGTCTGGCTTCGTGATTACAACACCAAGACAGGTTTTCCCGCTCCACCTTACCTCCCATGCTTTGCAGAGGCAGGGGTGACCCAAAGTCATGGCTATGGATGGCTATGTAGACCAGCAGTTCTCAACCTGTGGGTCATGACCCCTTTGGGGTTTCAAATGACTCTCTCACAGGAGTTGCCTTAGACCATTGGAAAACACAGATATTTACATTACAATTCATGACAGTAGCAAAACTACAGTTATGAAGTAGCAACAAAAATAATTTTATGTTGAGGATCACCACAACCTGAGGAACTGTATTAAAGGGTTGCAGCGTTAGGAAGGTTGAGAGCCTCTGATGTAGATGAACCACCCAATACCTTAGCTCATGGGCTTCTCCTGTATAACTGCCTTGACCCTTATGGCCAGCCAGCCAGATTGATGCCACCTCACAGCCTGGTCCCCTGTGGTACCATCTTACCCATACCATCTCCAGTTTGGCGCAGACAAAGCCCAGGACGCAGTCTCATCCTTCTCCAACCACTTCCTATTCCCATTGGCATCTGTCACCCCCAAGCCACACTTAGGTACTTGGTGCTTCTTTGACTATCGGTGATCTTGTGTGGAACTCTCTGGTTCACTCCCACTGGAAGTGGAAGAAAACTGGAATGTGGGGTGTCACAGAGTAAGGGGGAGATATGAGAAGGTACTCTAAGGAGGATGAAGTCAGACTGCAGGTCTTCCAGAGGAGGAAAACTTACTGGGTGGTTATATCATCATCATCATCATCATCATCATCATCATGATCATTGTTATTATTTTTTTCTAGACAGGGTTTCTCTGTGTAGCTTTGGCTGTCCTGGAACTCACTTTGTAGACCAGGATGGATTTGAACTCACAGAGATCCTCCTGCCTCTGCCTCCTGAGTGCTGGGACTAAAGGCGTGCACCACCATACCCTGCCAATTATTATTATTATTGAGACAGTGTCTCACTGTGCAGCTCAGGCTAACCATAAACTCACTGTGTAGCCCAGGCTGGTCTTGAACTCACACTTCTTCTCCCTTAGCCTCCCAAACCTTGCTGGATTTTGTATGAGTTTGTGTTTGATCAGGACCAGACACACAGCTGTAGAGTCTGGTGCAAAATGAAATATGAGGCCTTTTGTTTAAAAACTTACGAATTTTAAGGTAGTAATAGCAGGTAGTAACAGCCTGAGGTTTCTCCAAGCATTGATGTGGGCGTTCCTGGAACTATGGACACTACATGTCATCAGACTGTTCCTGTGACTTATCTTGGAACAAGTAGTTTTAAAAGTGTGGTGGGGTTAGGACCAGATAGTAGGATACCGGCAGTCATCACCTCTGGGGATGTACTCACCTCTGACTCATTCTTGTGATGTCAGCAGGGGCATTTCTCAGGTTCACTCTGTCTGAAGAATCAGATAAACTATATCTTTTTGCATTTGTTCTGTGTGGGTTGCTTTCGAATTAAGGCTAGATGCTCGCTCTGCTACTGAATGCATGGGAGTGCATTTGCAAACCTTCCCATCCTGCTGTTCTCTCACCCTGCCAGGGAGGTGAGCCAAGGCCCAAGGGTTAAGCCTGGCAGTTGCTGGAGAGTTATCTTCTTGGACTAGGGCATCTGCCAAGTCAGAGTGAGACTGGGATGTCCCACACAGCAGTTAGAAGAGCAGCTGGCACTGTGCCCACAGGGGAGGCCACCTGGAGCTGTGGTTGTGCTTAATAAAGGGAGGCCAAGTACAGGGCTCAAGAAGTGAGAGCTCTGAGGGGAAGAACCTGCAGTTAGGACCGTGTTCACTACCGTGTGTAGACTAATAGAGATTAGAGAAGAAATTGTGCTTTGCCATTTTAGAGGATTTACTTTTATTAATTTTTTTAAAAGTGCGTGTGTGTGTGTGTGTGTGTGTGTGTGTGTGTGTGTGTGTGTGTGTGTGTGTTGGGGAATATGTGCACATGAGTGCAGGTGCCTGAGGAGGCCAGAGGAGAACATCAGATCCTCTGGAGCTGGAGTTACAAGTTGTTGTGAGACACTCTATGCGAGCGTTGCGAACTGAATTCTGGTAAGAGCAACAGGTGCTCTTAACCACTGAGCCATCTTGGCAAACCTCCCCCCCCCCACTTTTGGTTCCCTCACGCAGTGAGGACTTCCTGTCAGCCTGATGCTCAAGTGTGTGAGTTAGAGGGTACAGAACAGACCTGGTTCCTAAGGTGCTGTGTCTGTCGCAGTGGTTCTGAAAAGAGTCTACATATTGCGGTCTCTTGGTGATGGCACACACCTATAATCCCAGCACTCAGGAGGCAGAAGCAGGCAAATCTTTGTGAGTTCAAGGCCAGCCTGGTCTACAGAGCTAGTTCTAAGACAGCCAAGGCTGTTACACAGTGAAATCCTGTCTCAAAATAATAAAAAAAAAAATTCATTCCAGGGGTTCATTAAAGTCTTCATTGACTCTAGGCATTAGCATGTTTCCAACTTTGCCCAGGAATTTCTAATGTGAGCCTGTGTTGAGACTTGTCAGTCTAGGAGACAGGTTGACACACGTCTTCTTTATACATTAATCTAATGTCTGCCTTGACTGACATGTAAATGAGGAGCTTGAAGCAGAGAAGATATATAGCAGGATCTGGTGGCTTCCATCTTGGTATCTAGCACTCACTCCCTTCTGGGATAGCCATACAGATTTGGGAGAGTACGTAGATACTCAGTCTCTAATGATGGAGCTGGATTGGTTCTTCAGCTACCCCAAATTCTGTGGCTCACTTTTCCCACCTCCTTTGCAGCTAGAAACAGTCCCGATTGCAGCCAGTGACTTCTCAGGGGTTGGCTAAAGTAATTTCTGGGACAGTCTTTGATTGTTCCTATGTGTCTGTGCTTTGAACAGGGAGGGGCAGTCTAGCCATCTTGTCACCATGGGGCAATACAGCAGAGAGGAACAGTCTCAGTGAGGTGTTGGCCTGGGCATCACTGGGTCACTCAGTCATCATCAGACTTGTGGGGGACACAGAGATTTTTGTGCTCACAGACAAGCACTAGGGAACCTGGGATGTTAAACACCAAGGGTTGTTCCTCCAAGGGAAGGAATGTAGAACTTGTTATCCATCCAGAAGGCCATAGGGGACATGCTTTCTAGTTTGGTGACACTTTTCCGGTATTGGACCCTCATTTAGATTAGATTCTTATCATAAATTTGTTCTTCTCAGTCAATCTATAGAACCCATCTTTATGGACTTTACAAAGAGTTTCAATGTAGACATGTCTGATGTGTATTTAGCTTACTTTTTTCCTCGAGGAGATGATTTATGTGTGCTTTGTTGTGCATACAGGATCGAGTTCATTAGGAC